CCCCAAAACCCCAAAACCCCAAAACCCCAAAACCCCGATATTTAATAAAAATTTTGAAAAGTTTGTAGATAGAGATGTCAGACGATTATGAGAATGATTTTGACGATTTTGATGATGATGGGGTTGAAGAAGTTGGTCCAGCTAGTGGTGTCAAGGGAAATTCGGGTTATGACTACCAGCCTGGAGGGGGGACGAGTAATTCGAAGCCTTCCTTCGCAGGAGGTTCAAAACCTCTAGCTGGTGGAAGCAAGCCTGATTGGCTTAAAAATAATAATTCGAAACCTTTTGCGGCTAAGCCAGCTTATGGAGCAGGCAATACCTCTACTCAAGGTCAGTATAATCCAAGGAAGGCTGATTCTATTTCAGTAAATAGAATCAACCCAAGAAGAAATCCTAGCCAGGAGCCAACTTCAAAGACTGCAATGGGTGGGGATTATGACTTGTCTGGAAAGAATTCGAAACCAGGTTCAAAACAGAAGAAGAAAAAGCGTGATTTCTCTGTAAACCTTCCACCAAAGCCCAAGAAAATCAATCTTCCAAAGGATTATTTGGATAAATATACTAAGAACAATCCAGTCAGGGACTTAGAGAGGTCACTCAAAGAAATAAAGGACAACATAAAGAACTTACAGAAGGAGTTACAAGAGTCTCAGTCTATCACCAATGATCTCAAGCGTCAAAAGGCTTTACAAAGGATCAACAAAGAACTTCGTGGTGAACTCAAGAAGTTGTCTGAAAACTCAACTATTCTCTGTGATGAGCTGCAAAAGAAGCATTATAAGAAAAAGAAGACTCCGAGAAAGATCGATGGCGAGACAGAACTCAAAATCAAGAACAAAGAACTAGAGAATGCTGATAAATTGATGAACAATCTTCTCACCGAATACAATACCGTCAAGAAGAGGATCGAACAAGTTAGTGATTTCAACTACGCTGTTGACCTCAAATCCAAAATTGCTGAGAACAAGCAGACCATTAAGGACAATAACAAGAAGATTAAGGAGCTAGAACAGGACCAAAAGAAGCGCGACATCCAGATGAACCGGATGCTTAAGGAAGAAAAGTCAGAGAAAATGCGAAGGGTTGACTACAAGCACTCAAAATTGACCTACCTCCAAGAGAAAATCAACGAAATGCAGGTGAAAATCGAGCATCTAGAGAAGGAAAAACAGGAAAAGGACGAACAAGAACAGGACATTAGGCAGAAATATGAAGCCATGCTCAGGATCGGAGAGCACTACGGCATCAATGAAAACAACATTGACAACGAAGAAGACATTTTTAAGAACAAACTTATGGAAGAATATGAGAAAGTTATACGTAAAGAAAATCACCTAAAACAAGAGATTGAGTCCATGGAGAAGCAGTACAAGATTGAGATCAAGGAGAAGAAGAAAATGATCAAAGAATACACTGATAAAAAGAAAAATGCGACTAAGGAACTAGGCACAGTAGTCAACGATATCTTAGGCAAAGCTGAGCAGCTCAATGGGCTGATTGAGAAGATGAGAGGCTTTGGGATGGGAGAAGATATCCTCAATAGATGGGCTGAAGAAAATAAGCAGCTTATAGAAAGTAATCAATCGTATTAGATGTGAATGATATTGAAACAAATATTCAGAAGTCTGCCCCACCTCCTAAACCAAAGAAGAAAGCAGCGAGTCCTAAAAGAAGGTTAAAGGAAGATAAAGCTCCTGCTCCAAAGAAAGTTGAAAAGCCGATTGTTGCTAATAAACCTTCAATTTCAAATAAGCCAACAATTGCTGAGAAGAACAAGCCATTTGGGATGATGAAAAAGAATGATGTTACTAGTAGAGCCTCTGTCAACCAATCCCAAGACAATATTGAGGAGGATGTTCCTGAAATGATTGAAGAAAAGGTTGAAGAAAAGAAAGAAAAACCTCAAGCTAAGCCAACAAAACCATTTGGAAATATGGGCTCCAAGGCAACTAAACCTTTTGGAAAGCCTTTTTCAAAGCCATTTGGAAATGCAACCAATACTGGAAATAATGCTAACTCATCGGTAGCTGATAATGCCTCTAATGCTGGCAATCAAGATCCTCCGAAACAAGCGCCTTTGTCTTTTACTGAGAAATATGGGCTTGCAAACAAAGAAGAACCAAAAGCAGATCCAATTCCAACACTAAATCAGGATAACTCTCAGAGTAAGATGAATAATGCTCCTTGGATGAGAAACAAACCGACTCTAGGAGAAAATAACAATGCTGAATCAGCAGGAGGATACATTCCTTCCATGGGAGGAAATCAGAACACTGCTAATAATAACTCCACTGGTGACTATATCCCGACAATAGGTTCAGGCCCAAGGAGGGTCGGCCGACCACCTCAAAATCAGAGCGCAATTCCAACTATGGGAGAAGAGAAAAAGAATGATACTAATATTGATAGAATTCCAACTTTGAATGATCAACCTAATAATGGTAGCCAGATCGGGACCATGCCTAGAAGAATTGGGCAACCATCTGGCAGCAGCCAGATTGGTTCCCTTCCTCGAAGAGTAGGCCCAGCCTCTACCAATGATAGTCAGATTGGAACAGTTCCAAGGAGAGGACAAGAGGATTCTAAGAATGATATAAACAAGATACCGATGATCGGAAGTTCGAACAGAGACCCTATAGATAATATCCCAATGATGGGTGGGTCAAATAATGATCCTATTGATAACATCCCAACTCTAAATTCTGGCTCGAATGATCCAATCAATAATATCCCAACTATCGGAGAGTCAAATAATAACTCAAGAAGAAGGCCTATGGAGTCAAATGATACTGGAGGATATATTCCCTCAGGGATGTCCAACCAGGCTGAAGAGAAACCTCTTCCAGGAGGTAGGAGAAGAGTTGCTGATCCGTTCTCAAAAGCGAGTAATGATCCTCCCAACAGCTCGAATAAGCCATTCCCCTTTGGAGAAAATAATATTTCCAGAATTAGTAACAATTCTGGCACGAACAATAACTCTTTGTTCCAATCTAATAGAAACGAGAAGAAGCCAGGCAATTTCGTTGACAATTTTAGCGGAGGGAATGACAAGAAAGAACCACCCAAAAAGAACGACTTCTGGGGTGGAATTTTAGGTGGTGACAAGCCACCAGCTCCTACTAAGAAACCTAATGCTCCGAAGCCAGTACCTAGTGGAATCCAAAGTAATAACAGAGCGGCTTTCCAAGATGTAGCATCTCTTGATGATGAATTTATGCTAGATTAATTCAATTTTTTACATTTTTTAGGGGTTTTGGGGTTTTGGGGTTTTGGGGTTTTGGGGTTTTGGGGTTTTGGGG